GTTTGGGGTGAGAGTGTTAAGAATGGCTTCTTGTGGAGCATTGTAGATGTTTACTACCTGTGGAGCTAGTTGAATGTTGTGGTTGAAAATGGCAGGAATGGTGTGGGATGAAGATCCAATTCTAGAGCCGAGCATTGTTTAAGATCTCTAAAACTGTGATTTTGTCACAGTGGATGAGTATGGACTTTTAGACAGTCCGTGCCCCCAGGGAATAGCTGCTATGAAAATGAGGTATAGCTCATGAAGCAAGGATGAAATAGAGTCGGACTCACAATTAACAATCTCCCTGTGTAGTTGCCACCAAAACATACAGAAGGAGCTACGTTCATGCAAAGTTGAATTTCGTTGAGTTGGGTGATGAAGTTGTCATAGAAGAAGATATCATTCCAAGAGGAAAGGAAATGTTGACACAGGTGCATTTACATTTTGCACACATCATACCAAACGACTCCATTATGTGGAGAGAGTACAGCTGCAATCACATTCAACCTTTACGTCAACTTCTTTAAATGTCACCAATGCATCTTCTTTCTGAGGAATCTCCATCATGACCTTCAACATAACAGCCAGGTTTGGTGTTTTAAGTAACAACCACCTCAACCCTCTTAACAAGACCATCAGGATGAGCAGCAAAATTATTGTTCTCAACCTAAACTAATAAGCAGCATCTACAGCAGAGGGGCTAAAGCAAAAGGACTAAAAATAGTCTTGGAATCCACTCACACTTCCCAACCAATACATTCAAGACCAAGCAAGTCATGTCAAACTTTGGACCTTTACTTCAATCATTGATGCAATTTATTATTCATCTATAAATACTGCTAGGCACACTTAACCTTACAAGTGGACATGTTAAACATTTTAAACCCCACTTGTTTGTTGTCTACTTTGTTGTCGTCTGCCAGGTTTTGTGTTGTTTATGTACTTATGCTTTTACAAAAAATTGGAGTTCCTAATAGATGAACAAAGTTATTTTGATTGATTTTTGATTTTATTGTAATTAAGCACAGCTACCTTTCGAGGTTCCAAAAATAGAAGTGGAGTCATCTTTCTGCATCTGCTTTGTAGCCTGTAATGGATGTGGTGACCATGCACCTTCATCAAGGTCTGGTTATGGGTCTCATGTCACTGAAGCCTTATGAAATCCTCCTGATGGGCAATGTCTTTACTGAGATTCCAGAAACATAGTATGGATGGGAACCGTCCCTCTGCATCTGCTTTGTAGTCTGTACAATCCCTCTTAACTCAAAGTGGCAAACTTTTTGTGCTCCGTGAGGAAATGGTATATGACAACCTTGGTTCAGGAGCTGCCTGTCTCGAAGATGAAACATGAGATGGCATCACAAAGAAGCCACAAGACTCACCAGCCCCTAGGGGACATCGACACTGTTGAACAAAGGAGGACCACTGCAAAAGTGACTACCTGCCACCAAAAATGGTGTTAACACACTGGCACACAAACAAGCCCTTAGTTCAGGCTTATAACTAATACAGTGTATTGTAATGTCAAACCATGTAGATGAAAGATAATTTTCACAGGCCTTCCAAAAACAGGAATGATCTGATATACATGTATGATATCCAATTAATTGTTCTTGGATTTAACCGATACTACTACACAATATAAGTAATGGATTTGTTCACTCCTGGCAGTGACATACTCTAGCATTTAAATTTCCTGTGCCTTTCTTTAACATTTACATTAAAAATGTTTCTAATAAATTGAGCCTTGTTATATATTTTTTCTTCAGAATATAACTTAAATATGTTTATTCTGTCTGTCTAGTCTGCACTTTCTTGATGTTTTTTTACCCAGTGACACTGCAGCAGCCCAGCATCAACCTGACATCTCCTAACAGAGGGTTGGTCTGGGGTCCTGAAGGTGCAGAGGTCACCAAGGGTTACAGCTTTGTCATCACCTGCTCCATTTCCTCCCACTATCCTGGAGGTGTTTTCTGTCTCATCTTCTCTGGCTCCAACATCACCGACACCAAGCCAGCAGTCAACAACTCAGCCTCCTTCAACTTCCCTGTAGCTGAGTATGAACACCAGGGCAACTACAGCTGTGTGTATGAAGTCACACTTCCACCATGATAGCAAAAAGTAGTGCCACCATTAAACTTAAGTAGGCAGAATTTAAGCTAAGTAAAGGTAGGATTTATTAAAAAACACATCTTAAAACATATCAGCCTGCACCTAAATGCAAAAATACCAGATTAATCTTCACAGAAATTAATAAAATGCTGAGATACACTGTAAGCCTATGGTGTATCTATATTAAAGACGCCCTGTGAAGCTTTGGCGACCCCTAGCTGGGGTCCCATACCCCACGTTGGGAACCACTGCTATAGAACCTCACTCAGTAAACAGGTGTATGCCAACCTTTGTACTGCATTTTACGGAAGCAGGAGAGGAAAATGGAGTAGACCAATGTCTTGATTCGTTTGATTTCGAATGATAAAACCAGTTATTGTCCACACCTACATAGAACAAATACCCTGCAATAAATTCACACCTCTATAGTCCCTTATTGTGTGAAATGTGTGTGAGGTTTATTGCCAAAAATGTACAAAATAGCCCAACACATCATACATTTCTGTAATCCTTAAGATGTCACTTATCCATTTGAGGAAGAAAGAAGGATATACCCTATTCCAAGGACAAACCAAAAAAACATTGGTGTAGGTGTAGGCAACAAATATTTTGGGTGAAAAAATTTGGTAAATTTCTGGTAAAAACCTGGGCTCACTGCTTCATGTGTCATTTGGGAAACAAACAGTTACATGTCCCAGATTGGTAGTTGAAATTGAGTCATTTTTTTCTAATATTTCAAAAACAATGGTTTAAGTTTAATCTTTGTTCAATAACGTGAGACAAATGAAAAGAAAATAGTATGGTTTGGAGTTTTCTTTTGTAATTTCTTGTTTTATTTTGTAGTTTTCCTCTTGTGTCTTGTTCTACTTTACTTCTGTCTTTGACTTTTTCCCACGTTTGCTACGCATTGCTTGTTTATATGTGCTTCCTGCCTGCTCCCCTGTGTTTCCTTGTGTTCATGTTAACTTCCTCAGTTGGATTTTTTTTCTGGATTACTTTGATCAATTGTTTCAGACTACTGCCTTTGTTTGACCAGTTTTAGTATTAAACTCCCCCTTAACCTGTTCTGCCAGTCTGCATCTGGATTCAGATCCTAACCACTACTCAACTTCCACAAATGTGACAAAAAAGTAATTAATAGTATGTTATAATGTGTTTTTATTCATAACATATACATTATTCATTTCTTTATAACTTTGAATTCACCAAATGCCACTGCCAAGCATAGAAGCAGAGTACCTTGCTAGAAGGAGAGAAAGGTATGCTTAAAATGAAAAACTAAATGCTCAATAAAACAACTTAAAATGTATCTTGTGTGATTTTCATTACATTGGAGGAAATGCAATTTTCAATAAAAATGTTCAGCTGTTGTCATCTATCATTTGTCTAAATAAAATGGACTATTCACAGTGGCTTTATGACATGACGCTATATTCTCAGCTACCTGAGAAGAAAACACCCGGGCAAAAGATACTCATGTAATCAGTAATGGAGCTGTTTAACAGTACAACCACAAAGCAAACTTTGACCTCCTTAGTACTGTGCCTTTCCGTTTTTTGGGTTCAAGCACGTTTCATGAAATTATTCAGAAAATACCCATGGAAGGATGGCCCCAGATGGCACTGGTGGTGCCGTAAAGAAGGATGCAGATCTCTATGTCCAATGAGGAGGTGAGCTGCAGACTCCACTGGACTTGTTTAACATGCTGGCCAAATGTTAACTGATTAACAGTGCTCTCCAGGAAACAACAGACCACTGGATGTGGATGATATGACTCTGGCCCATATGTGCATGCTCTAACTTCCCTAAACTCCCCAACAGACCCTGGATGGTTTTGACATATAGGTAGAGCAGTGGTTTTCAACCTGGGGGTTAGGACCCCCAAGGGGGTTGCAAGATGATTTCTGGGGTTCGCCAAATGGTTGTGGAAAATAAAATGACATACTGTGGTTGCAGGGCGGAATAAGAGACGGGAAGCAACTCTCAGCTGCTCTATATACTCTGTTTGTATACATGTTAACGGGCCCATTTACCTCAGTTATATGAGACAGTATTTCTGTCTTTTATTATGCTTTTGGGCCAGAAGCAGACATGCTGTCCTCAGTCAGCTTTTTGCTCTGTGTCACCTGGAGAAATTTGGGGAATGATTTCCATGTACACAGGTTACGTGCGTCCACGAGTATGACGCAAGGCTACTGGTGAGAATGGCCTGGGGAACGGATGGAGACAGGCAGGACGTCCTGCGGCACTCCACCCAGTGGAACTGAATCCCGGAGAGTCCAGCAATAGCAGAGCCAGAATATTTTTACATCTTACTTTCTGAATTAAGGATTTGGTTGGTGATTGTTGGAACAGTGGAAAGACGGTTTTGGTGAGTTTTATTTTCTGTCGAGCTTAACTAAAGTGGTTTATATACATCGGAGTATTAGGGCCAGGCATAAGATAAAAAAATATTAAAGGAAGATTTATTATTATTATTATTTTCATTATTATTGTTATTATTATTACTATTAAAGTTTAAATACACTGTTGATAATAAAGTAATCTAAACTATCACTGCAAAATTATCTGTCTGCCCACTCCCTGTGCGTCTGTCAGTGTGCAGTCAATGAATCAGCAGCGCCCACAGTTTGCACGTTTTACTATTATTTGCGGTCAGGCTTCTCTGTCCTCTCCAAACACACACACACATAGGGTGCATCCCAAGTCTCTCAGACACACAGAGAGACATAGAGAAGCGATATTTCCTATTACCTGCTTTGTCTGCAGTTGATGTCAGGAATAATAATTACTTTCATTTTAGATTTATTTCCAGTGAGATAATTTTGAGCTTATATACTGATTTATATAATAACTAACTGCTGTAACGTGTGTATATGTGTGTATGCATGTATATGTGTATATATGTGTGTATACATATATATATGTGTATGTGTATATATATGCCATATGTGTGTATACATATATATATATATGTGTATGTGTATATATATGCCATATGTATGTATATATATATATTTCTATCAAAATCCTTTTGTCTTCCTGTAAAACAAAATGTGACACATGCTTATCTAAGCATGAACTAACAGATTGAAGCAATTACATCATGCCATTCACCTGTCAATCAATCTTCAATTTAGCGATGTAGAGTGATGATTCAGAGTTAGCAGCAGTATTGCTAGCTACCGGAACCCCCTGAGTTTCTGGGGGGCCGGGCCTCACTGACTGCTGTACAAAAATACAACTTTATCATTTCATATTTTACAGAGAGAATATTGTCTGGTTTTCCTCGGATGTCCTTTAGGTTAGAAAATTTGAATTCGAAAAACAAAAAAGGGTGAGAAGGAGATGCAACCTTTTAATATATTTGATATAGCCAAATATTATATCATTAATAGCATATATATTGTTGCAGTTAGTATAAATCTCCCTTTTAAGATGATCTAGATTTTTTATTTAATTTGTTTGGTACAAAGGTGCCAGATTACCAAGAGAGCTCCTAAAGACTCTGTGTAGACAGCTGTTTAGGATTTCATCTTCTCTTCGTTTTGTACCTCAGGACACAAATGAACTCTTTCATGCTTGTATTTCAGTACATTACTTACAAATTTACTGAAAGCCCATTTCAAGTATATACAGTCAACAAATAGCTGCTCTTGTAATTGTGGTATAATATTTAATATGTTTACATTGCCAAAGAAGTGTTATGTTACAATACATCTTACACATAAACCTATGTTAATCAAAACACTAAAAGCTTACTTCAGAAGTACAGGGGTCATGGTTTTATTGTTTTATTTTGTAACTCACTCCTCCACTCGTGGCAGTAACTTTACTTCATGTCTTTGTCTGTTTTGTTGTCTGCCCACCCTGATTAGTTTACCTGTCTTCTTATCCCCCCCTAAACCTTTGTGTCTATTTGTTTCATTACCAGTTTGTCTTCGTCTGTGTGTCAATTGTTCCTGCGAGTTTGTCTAGTAGTTTCTGTTTTATTGGAGTCTTGATTTCTAGTTTGCCCCTTTTGGATTTGTTTTCCTGTTGGACTGCCTTCTTGGTTTTGAACTAAGACTGCAGGACTAGCTTTTCTGAAGCTAATTTATTAATGTGGAGTATATATTTAGTGGAACCAGGTGGCAAGCAGGCGGCATGGCACCTAGCAGAAGTATATACTGATTTAATGTAATGTATCATTTGCTTGATAGATTTTTTCTTCCGCAAACCAGACTGCAGCCCTGCCTCTCTGTATACATACCAACACTGTGTGTCACCTGCATTGACCAGGATGTCCAGACTTCTACCTAGCCTGCTTTTAGGTGAGTAACTCAGATACTCAAGCATTTGTTGTATTATTGTTTATTCAATAAATCAAGATAATAAAAGTGTAACAGAGTCAATTTATCTCAGCTGAGAGGTCAGAGCTCATACACCGGAGTATATGTTGCAGGACTGACCCAGAGGTGCAGAAACAGTCCTTTTGTAATTTCGAGAATACGTATTAATTATCATCTCAGCCTTAAGCTCAGGAAGAAAGGATGAGTATCACAGCTGTACAGGTGTATGGAGAAGAAAAAAATACATTGGTTCATAATAAAGTGCACAATACATGATTAAGGGAAACAAAGAAATGTTCCAATTCCCCGATTATATGATCACTTAAGTATATACAAAATGGATCATTACATCAGTGAATGCACCCATTTTACAGTTTAAGCTAACTCTTCATTAATTAATCTAGCAATAGCTATTTTTGTAGAACCGACATTAGAAGTAAAGGCACTAACTGGGGGAATATAATACTAAAAGTGGAGCTATCTGCGGACATAGTCAGGTCTGTAAGGCTGTAAAACATCATAATGCAGGTCATGCAGTTCCTGTGGAGCTAATTCACACCAATCATAAAGGTATCAGTCATATCTAAACTTGAGATGTTTAATCAAAAATTCAAGAGTTTTTAAAACCAAAGTGAAACTTCAGGAGGTTTAACACA